TCCGAACCTGGTGTGTTTTGTACATTTTGACTTGGAAATGTGCTTCGCGCCACAACCGCGTGCACTTTTTCGACATCTCAACTTCCAAAAGTGGTCCGAACCTGGTGTGTTTTGTACATTTTGACTTGGAAATGTGCTTCGCGCCACAACGGCGTGCAATTTTTCATCTCTCATCTGGCCAGCTTGCTCCGCACCCGCCGCTTTAGCGAGCCTACTTTTCGACCCTCCGGAGCCCCAAATCATTGGAAAAACACAGTGTTTTGCGACTTTCCTACCTTTTCGCGCATCTGCATCTTCTTTCTTCTTACTCTTTCTCTTCTACTCTTCTTTCTTCTAATCTTTCTCTTCTCTCTGCCTCTTCCCTGCTCTGCTTTTCATCTCTCCATATTGTCGGAAGTTTGACTTCTAAACTTCCTTCGATAAATGGTCACTGCTTCAGAATGTTTCGCGCATGGTTGATCCCTGGAAACCCGCATGTCACGCCAATGATCCGCCATTGTCCGTTTCAGATACATAAACATAAACGTATCCATATACCTGTACATTTACATTTTTAAACTTATACACATATACATCTGCATCTACATATACATACACACCAAATTACATATACATATAGTTACATACACACATGTACACATATACATAGATACGTATATTCATATCTACATATATACATATTAACATAGTCACACATGTCCATTTACACACATACATAAACATATACATATACATATACACGGACAGTTACATGTTCATATACATAGACTGATAAATGCACATATAATATCATATCATTACGTACATATACGCACATACATTTACACATAAACATTTACACATATACAAATACATACACACATAATTACATTTACATAAACAGATAATCACATAATACACATACACATGCACATATCATATACATATACATATTCTCCCGCCGAGGGAGACCCCAGACAGTGCGCAGTTAGGATTCCAAAGGGCAAGGTGGAAAGGCCCAAAATCATCAGTTGCTGCAAGCAGGCAGGTTAAGAGCGACCCTAGCAGTGAAAGCATGGTGTTATTCAAGGTGGTCCGAAGAATAGATACCGAGTTAGATTCTGCAAGTTCCCTTTGTGAAGATCGTGCGCAAGATCTCCTTGACAGGTTCTCTGAAGAAGCTGCTGTGCAAGATCCCTGTATAAGGATATCTGTACAAGGTGTCTAATGTTGGGTCCTGATTAGTGTGGGGGTACACTATTGTGTCCACCGACCCCAAAATAATTGTGAACCTTTGGAAATGATGGGGGGGTACACTATTGTGTCCACAGGATTTTGGGGTAAGTTTTTTTCATTTTTTATAATTGCTTTAAATTATTTTCCATTTTTTGTTAAATTTGATACAATTTTTAAAAGTTAGTTTAATTGTTAAATTTTAAAAATGTATATTTAAATTTGTATGGTTATTTGGAAAAAACATTTTGTTTCTATAACATATATTCAACTTTAAAAAAAATAAACAGTTTATATGTTTTATTATAATTAGTCAGTTATATGGAATTGATCCTAAATTGTGGGGGGTTGGGTTCACTATTGTGTCCAGGTGCAGCTTCGTCCTTTTTTCATTTTTCCAACATTTTAAAGCTTTTTCTTTACTTTCTTAGTTTTTTTCACTTGGTCATTTGAAATTTCCAAATGTTCTTCCATTAAAAATTACAACCTGATCCACAATAGTATGGTTTGTTTGGGGGGTCCACTATTGTGTCCAGCTGCTTCCTGATGCTATTTTTTACTTTTATTTTTTGAAACATCCCCTTTACCTTTTCCTTTGCTAAAGGTGTGTTCCTTTTCCTTTTCCTTTTACTTTCTTAATTAGTCTCTTTCAATTGAAATTCTCAGAAATGCCCAATTTCCCAAAATATATGATGCCTTATTAAAACCCAATTTAAAAACATCACTCAAACAATTTTTCAAGGGGGTAGTCCATGAGCAACCCTGATCCACAATAGTATGGTTTGTTTGGGGTGTTCACTATTGTGTCCAGCTACTTCCTGAAGCGAATTTTTCAACAATTTCTTTTACCTTTTCCTTTGCTCCTTTTACTTTCTTGAATAATTGATTTCTTTCAATTGAAATTCTCAGAAATGCCCAATTTCCCAAAATATATATGATGCCTTGCTAAAACCCAATTAAAAAACATCACCCAAACAATTTTTCAAGTGGGTAGTCCATGGGCAACCCTGATCCACAATAGTATGGCTTGTTTGGGGGGTCCACTATTGTGTCCAGCTGCTTCCTGAGGCGATTGTTTTTAAAACATTCCCTTTACCTTTTCCTTTGCTAAAGCTTTTTTCTTTTACTTAGCTTCATTCTTCTTGGGATCAAAACCAAAGGGTTTCCAAAGGATGAGCTTCAGCCAACCAAAAAAAAACATGAATGATCATGATCCACAATAGTATGTTTGTTTTGGGGGTCCACTATTGTGTCCAGCTGCTTCTTGAGTTGAGTTTTTTGAAACAGTCCCTCTACCTTTTCCTTTGCTAAAGTTTTTTCCTTTATTTTCTCAATTAGTTTCTTTTATTTGGAATTCGCAGAAATGACCAATTTCCCAAAATATACGATGCCTTACTAAAACCAATTTATAAAACATTACCCAAACAATTTTTCAAGGGGGTAGTCCATGAGCAACCCTGGTCCACAATAGTATGGTTTGTCTGGGGGGCCCACTATTGCGTCCAGCTGCTTACTGAGGTGATGTTTTTTTAAACATTCCCTTTACCTTTTCCTTTGCTAAAGCTTTTTTCTTTTACTTGGCTTCATTCTTCTTGGGATCAAAACCAAAGGGTTTCCAAAGGATGAGTTTCAGCCAACCAAAAAAAACATGAATGATCATGATCCACAATAGTATGTTTGTTTTGGGGGTCCACTATTGTGTCCAGCTGCTTCTTGAGTTGATTTTTGTTTTGAAACATTCCCTTTACCTGTTCCTTTGCTAAAGATTTTTGTCCTTTATTTTCTTGAATAATTTCTTTCATTTGGAATTCTCAGGAATGCCCAATTTCCCAAAATATACGATGCCTTATTAAAACCCAATCAAAAAACACCACCCAAACAATTGTTCAAGGGGGTAGTCCATGAGCAACCCTGATCCATAATAGTATGGTTTGTTTGGGGGTCCACTATTGTGTCCAGCTGCTTCCTGAGGTGTTTTTTTACAATCCCTTTGCATGCTCCTTTTGCTAGGGCAAATTGACAGAATATTGAAAGTAAATATTGAAATCAGTTGAAAGTAAATCGAAAGTAAATTGAAATCAACTCAACGTAAATTGAAATCAATTGAAAGTAAATTGAAATCAATTCAAAATAATTGAAATCAATTCAAAATAATTGAAATCAACTCAACGTAAATTGAAATCAATTGAAAGTAAATTGAAATCAATCCAAAATAATTGAAATCAATTCAAAATAATTGAAATCAATTCAAAGTAAATTGAAAGTAGATTGAAATCAATTCAAAGTAAATTGAAAGTAAATTGAAAGTAAATTGAAATCATTTCAAAGTAAATTGAAATCAATTCAAAGTAAATTGAAAGTAAATTGAAATCAATTCAAAGTAAATTGAAGGTAAATTGAAATCAATTCAAAGTAAATTGAAAGTAAATTGAAATCAATTCAAAGTAATTTGAAAGTAAATTGAAAATAAATTGAAATCAATTCAAAGTAAATTGAAAATAAATTGAAATCAATTAAAAGAAAATTCAAAGTAAATTGAAATCAATTGAAATCTATCATTTTTTTGATTACACACTATTCAGTACCCGGTCCCTTGAAATTTCCACACTATTCAGTAAACTAAATTAGTTTAGGGGGGGGCCTACACTAATCAGTACCCTACATTATAAGAGATCTTGTCACAGAAGATCTCTGTAAGGGATCTCAGAGTAAGATCTCTGTTCAAGCTCTCTATAAAAGATCTCTGAGCAAGATCTCTGTTCTCTTCACCAGGTCTCCGTACAAGATCTCTATGAGAGGTCTCCTGGCA